TGGGGATGCAGAGATCCACAAGAATGCAGAAATCCACCTGCTGTCCATAGAGGAGACCTACACCAGAGCAGGTGGATGCCTGAGAGGAAGCTCTGTTCCCATGGGAGGCTCATGGAGAGAGGAGCCCAGGCTGGAGCAGCCTGTCCTTGAAGGACTGCACCCCATGCAAGAGTGACCCATGTTGCAGGAGTTTGAGGGGGACTCTTGCCTGTGGGATGGACTCATGTTATAGTCTACAAAAGCTTTCATCAAGGGAAGCCAAATTGAGAGCTTTGCCTTTTTTTTTTTTTTTTTTTTAGGTGTTTAACTTTGGCACAATTGTGCTACAATGGATTAGACTGGATTATTAATTCCATTTTACCTTTCCTGATGTTAACATTTTCAAAGAATCCTGTCTTAAACAAGATCATTCCAAGTGTTAGATGAGAAACTTACATCTAAACAACTTAGTGGAAGCAAATTTGGGCTACTGAGGTGATTATTTTTTTATATTGTCTGATTTCTGGAGAACATTCTGGCTTTTTACAGACAATGGAGGACAAAACACTTCCCTTGATTCTAAAGAGCTGCTGTAGTGACTCATGATGATTATAGGTTAAGTGCACTGCTCTCCTTTCTGGACAAGTTTATCTGTCAGCATCCTGGTTTCCATAAGTCAAGAAGGAATTGCCAGCGTAACACAGCTCTTTCTGAAAAGAGGGATTAGGACTATAGCACCAAAACAAACATGACGCCAAAATACATAACTGACAAGGAATGAAGAAGGGTGGATCAAAGGTTTTTCAAGATAAACATTGTTTTCTTTCCCACCTTCGTTTCACATTCCTACAAAATCACTGTCTTTCCCTGAGTTCAGAGGTTGATTGTTCCATGCAGTGAAAGAGGTAAAAGAAATAACATGAATTATCTGAAAAAATCATTATGAGATAAAGTTTTCCAGAGCTAAGCATGACAAACAAACAAAAATAAATAAATAAATAAATGAAATATCATACCATCCTGAAAAGTTCTCATCTCCACCAGGTTCTCCATGGTATCTAAAATGAACCTAGATAGTGGCAATATGCCCCTGAACTATGCTATGAACTGTGCATCTCTCTATGTCTGCAACAGCCAACAGTCTGACAGGGGTGCCTGGGGCAGCTTAGTGGTCCTAGGGACTCTCAACTAGCCTCCAGTGCTTCAGGGATGTGCATCAGGTCTCCAGCCAGCTTCAACTGGATGTCTCAGATATGTCTGTGTGTGGTTAATAACCCATGGCCTGGGTCCTTAACAGCTTTAATGGAGCTCAACTATCGCTTGTGAACGTGGATAAGAAGGTTTAGATGCTGTAACCTTCAATCATTTTTCACCCTCATTGGCTGAGTGTCAGAGCCCTGGGAGCATTATTAGGTATAATAATCTGCTGGGGACTCCACCTGTGTTCTTTGCCCATTGACCCAAGTTTTTCACCTCAGTCCTGGAGCTTCAGTCCCTGCTCGTGCTCTGTCATAGGAGCACCAGTCTCTGGCTCTGACTCCTGGATGGACCTTTAACTCACACTGTAGGTAACTCCTATCCTGGATGGATCCAACTCCTCAGCTGTATTCTGAAATTGTCCCTGCCTCTGGCTTTAGGGCTCTCTATTGGATGAATTTCAGGGCCCAATCTTGTTTTGGCCCAATGTTTTTGTAGCCCAATCTCCAGTCCCATTCCTTGCTCCATCATTTCCTCCCCACAACTAAAACCCCTCCAGGGACCCAGGCCATGGCTCACCATTTGCCATGTCTTGTACTGCAAGCAGACCCTGTTACCAGTGCCCAAATCTGTCTATCTTGTCAAGATCCTGTGGGGTTCTGCACTATTAGAGGGGGCACTGTCTGCATAAGGATGACACCCAAGTCCTTCAACAGAAAATAATCTGTCTGAGACCACAGAAACCTAGGAATAACATAACTGAAGGAAAAAAATGATTTATCCTGTGAGCCAGCATATCTTTACAACTACTCAGTGCTGACATCCAGTTCTGCTGTTTGCATGCATGACAGAGGAGAAAAACTTTTTCCATAACACAACAGCATGTCAAGGTTAACTTAAATATTCCAGTATGGAAAAAAACTAAAGGTTTTAGAAGACTACTTGGAAGGCGGAAAATGGAAAGTTAAGCAGTTCTTGGCACACACATATTGGAATATATGTTATTTAGTTATGAAGATAGAGTTATTTTATATGGGGGAAGAGAAACAGAAGGTGTAGACTGACACACAGCAAAAATACCTGTAGATTGGCCTCTAAGAAATAGACTCATGATACTGTCTGTCAGCCAGAGAGAAACATGCCCATGTAGGTAGAGCTTCATTTTAGTCATTAAAAACAGGGCCAAATGGAGCAAGATGTCTATTATATATAGGCAGAGAGAAGAGAAGGCTACTCAATAACAAAACTTTCCCTTCAGTCTTATCTCTGACTTGAAAACCTGACATGTAGAACAAAATCTGCTAAGTTTCATTGTCTTCAGGAGAATGCCTATTGGATTTGGTTTGTATTTGGCAACTGGAAACTGAAACTCTTTCATTCAAAGAGAGGAAATAAACAGCATGGATGATTTTTTGATTGTGGCTGAGTCAGAAAAGTTTGTAGATTTCAGTCAAAGGCACTGCAAGAGCTGATGCCAGTGGTATAAGCTTGGAGACATTTTCTTCCCATCTCTCTGCCAGTCTGAGGTTCAGCCATAGATGTTCCTGTAGGACTGTATTTCCCAGTTCAGGCAAGGAGACTGATAGCAGGGCTTATCCCTGTGAGTGCAGGCTACACATTATTATGGAATACAGAAAAAAAAAAATAAATCAGTAAGCAGCTGCAGAGAAATATTTGGATAGTTTGGGCTAAGCTAGGGTTTCTTCCATTTAAAATTCATTGTATGCTTCATCATGGTATCCTTAAGTCTATGCAGTAGTGAACTTTTTGGTAGATAAACTGGCCCTTGTTTTGTCTGAGCTCTTCTGCCCACTAGACAGCCTGATTGGGGTAGATGGCAGAGATCAGAGAATCATAGAATATCTTGATTTGGAAGGAACCTATGAGCATCATAGAGTCTAATTCCTTCATTTGCCCCAGCCCTGCAATGCAAGTTGCTATGCAAGAAGCTGTGCACAGGGAGTCCCTGATGATGTTTCCAGCATGGTGGGTGACATGCCAGCCTGTCACCACACATAAGCTGCCATGCAAGACACCTGGAAAGACAGAGTCAAGTAAAGGATGTTTCTGACCAAACAGCCCATTCCCCAACACAGCTCCAAGCATCTCTGACAGAACTCAGGAGGGAGAAAACCAGAAATCATTCCTGAGAACAAATTTATCCTAGATATATGTCATAAAATATTCAACCAAGAATATCCTTGCTCCTATCTTCATTGTGTAGCACTTCACCCAAAACCTTGCTCCCTTCTTCTGTGCTCCCAGGCTTTTATGAGAGCCAACAACCTTCCTTCTACAATTGCTCTCTTAATGCAAGGGGGTCGCTTTCTCTGTTGGCTGTCTCATTTCTTTGAATAGAGGAACATCACTCTTTTCTTCCTCAAAAGTATGAGGTAGAAATGCAAGAAATTTACTCCATTCTCCCTGGACACTCAGTTAATCCTCACAGCTCACTTCCCAGTACTTAAGTGTAGCTTTTTGCTACAACCCATCAAGCTAGGGAGGAACTATGTAGGTTCAGGTATAATTTAGCCAGAGGGTCTCTTGAGTGTTTCCTCTGTCTTGGCAGTTCAGATTCTAAGAACCAGCTCTCCTCAAATAAATGAGAGAATATAACCATGACACAGATAATGACATTTTCTCTTTTCTAATCTGCTGACTTGAAAATCTGCCTCTGGTGTTTTTAGGATTCCACAGCTCTGATGAATCCACCTACTAGATCATTCTACACATTTATTGGTCATCCAACTAAAGTTATTATTATTCTACATTAGAATTATGCATTTGCATTTAACCCTTGTCCTTGTAGTGAAATCAAGGGCCTAATACAATACAGCCCAGCCTTTCCAATTGTTGTAGGGACAGCAAACACCTCTGCTGTCAAAGCTTTATTTTAGGAAAGACACTTCAGGCATATATAATCCCTGTTGTTTTTCTCAAGCTTAATGGCATGAACCATATCAATTCTTCTATCTCCAGTCCACCCTGCATTCCTCTGGCTGCACTGTACTTTTAGGAGAAAAAAAAAACATAAAGGTCATTCTGTTTTTCTGAGGTAGCTTCTCTAATATAAATGGGAAAATTGTGAGGGTGCACAGCAGGTTTTCCTACATCCAAAGGACTCAGAGAGAGAAGTGGTTTCCAGTAAGACATTATCAAAATCACCTTGGTAGTCCTTACTATCTGTATGCGGTGAATCAAGTGTGTAGGTGAATGAAGCCTGCATTCTAAGGGCAGAGTGAATGACACATATTCACCTGCAGCTCCTGGTACTCACTTCTCCAGTCTGACACAGTCACCACTACTTGGGAAAGAGTGGATTGCTCTGCCTGGGTCTGTTCCATGATCTTCTTACAGCAGATATTTCTATAAATGGTTTGTGTAAATAGTTCCCCACTTAGTGGGTCAGACAAAGATTTTTCCAGCACCTTTGTGATGAGGGTCCCACAGAACTTCTGAAAATGTAGCTTCAAATCCCACTCTGCATTACATAAAACACAGACTAGGAGATTATTTTCCCTTATTTCAGAAGAGTAACTGAACCACTAGACCCCTACTAGAAATATTTTTGTAATGATTTCTCACTTTGAGAAGAAATGTCAATAAACCTTTTCTTGGTAGAGTTTATGAGAAAAACATTCTTTTGTCAAGCGTGACTGGCACTGTTCCTTTGTGTTATCTCCAGTTCCTGTCTTGGGCAATACTTGTCATACTTTTCTGATACTTCCTCACTTGTGATCTACCTCTTTTAGTGGTTTGAACCATACCATCCCCAAATTCCTCCCCTAGAAAAAGGACATTTGAGTCTGGAGTTTTTCCTTTGGACTTTTTTCTTCACTTCTTGTAGTGTGAAATACACTACAAGAACATACTGGACATATGGCTGGCTTCCTTCTCTTGGGAAGCTCTTAACACTGGCTTCTCCCAATGGACAAAGATGCTCCCAATCTGACAGTGCCTCCATCTTCCCAGGGGCTATCACTGCTATTCTCTTCCTCTCCTTTTCTGGACTCAAACAAGAAACAATGCATGACTCAGGATCCCCTTGGAGTGAGAATTTCCCTGTGTGCTTGGTCCCACCACATCATCAGCTCCTGAAAAAGACATGAAAAGAAGGTAACACCTACTACACGATCCTGGGGTGAATTAGAAGTTAGCAGTGAGTGCGCCTCCTCAGTACACTTCTGTGGGAAATGCCATTCCAAATTAAAAGCAGGAGGCAAAATAGAAGGCTAAGACTTACCTCAGTGGGTCATTCCCTGAGTGTTCTCAACCAGTGTACAGTGAGGAGCCAGGCTGAAACACAGATGTAAAAGTCACAGGCATTCCCTGATGTCAGACTTTAGAATATGAGGGAAAATTCACTTTGCTTCTTACTTTGCAAAGAGGTAGTAAAATTCATATCTTTGAAGCATCCTTTTCATTGGTTATGGGCACTGCCTGCATGAGAGACCTATTCCACAGTGTCCAAGCAACTGAGTTTCAGAGCATAGAGTGACAGTAATGGTGTTAATCATTCAAGGATATCAATGTCAGGGCTTTATAGTTTCAGGCACCTGGAGTTCAGCATATCAATGATACCCCATGGCTATATAAAAATAAATTGGGGAACAAGCTGATAAGGTGGAATATATTGACTCATTGGGTGAAAATAGTGCTTCCCAGGAGAGTACAGCAAAGTAAGATGCTTGCAAGCTTTTCTTTACTGAGAAAACCAGAACAGGTGAAGTTCACTTGGGAACAGGTGAGTTCACAAGAACAAAAGCATTCAACATTGGCATTCAGCAGCCTTTGTTCTGCCATTCCTGAGAAGCCACTGCAGCAAATGAGAGGCAGTGAAAAGAGGTCCAGCTCAATGGTCATTTTTTCTGCTCTAAGATACAGCAACTCACACTGCATCCTGAAGGCTGAATTCTGCCTACTGGGTATTAAATTCCTTCCACGCAGGGATGGGTGACTATGTTGGGTCTGGCCTTATGCCAAGCAGAACTGGAGAGAAGTGGTTGAACTTCTGCCAGCTTCTCTCTTTGCTGAGTCAAGAGAGTCTCAATGAGATGAGAACATGGCTTTGTGTGCTCACTTCATACAAAATACTGAGGTCTGCAAAAATACAACCCATTATGAGATCAAATGTACACCACCTATGACTCTGAGCTATTGAAATAAAGAAAGGTGAATAGCTACCTTTCAATTGTTGAAAGCCCATCAAGGATATAAAATATAATTCCTCCCTGTTCTGCAGAAATAGTTGAAATTGAGCTGGTAGAAGCTGATGTTTCTTTAAAAGGAAATTAACTTGTCCCCCCCCACGCACTATATGTACAATTTAAATTAACACAGAATAAATGAAGTTTTGAAATGCAAATGTGAAAATGAGTCAAGAATACATTATAAATAAAGTTTACATATGGTGATGACAAGTGTCATCACATCTAAGTAACATCCACCACACTCTTCAGAAAATCACTAATGCAGTTTGAATGCCTTCTTTCTTTAGTGAAATATGCATCAGTCAGATACAAACACCTAAATAGCAATATCCTCTACAGTTATAAAACATTAATACTTGCTTTGTGTTGCTTTGCTTCTTTACTATTCTTATAATACTGTTCTTTGATATTTTTTTTTAGGAGATGACATTTAAAGGCAGCACCTTAAAACAGCCCAGCAAGTGTTTCTTTCAAACTCTCCTGCTGGTTACATTCCCTACATCTCAGATCAATGTCTCTCATAATTGTTTCTGGAAGATCGAGTATTTCTTGATATGTGCATCCCAAAACAGATGCCCATCCACCAAAGCCATCATCAGCTCTTTTTTGGCTTTGATGCACTTCTCCCAGGGCCTCTCTAACCTCTGTCCATGATTCAGGATCCTATCCCAGCCCATCTCAGGGACATCAGTCCCTTCCCCAATAAAGTCATAAGATGCCAGTCCTCAGGCTCACAAGCTGATGTCCCAGCCTCTGCCTTCTGTCCCCACAGAAGTGCCTGATGACCTGGGATGGGGCTGCACAGTCCCACCAGGGGAGTGTCCCCTGGACCCATCCCCCAGAGAGCCTCTGTCCCTCACAGCACTCGGCTACGACCTTACTGGTATTGAACAGAGTGGAAAAGATTATTCTGCAAGAATACCTTTCTGCTTATGCACTGCAATGTTTGTTTTCCCTACAACAACATGACATTGTTGGCTCAATTTCAGTAGCCCCCAGATCATTTCTTGCAGAACTGCTATTTAAGCAGCTGTTCCCCATCATGTGCCAGTGTAACTGATTATTTCTGCTTATACACAGTGCCTTCCACTTGCCCTAGTGAATTGCATCTTCTGTTCTTTTCCTTGTTTTTCCTGCCCTTATCTTGAATTAGCCAATATTATTTTTAAATCTGGTTATGCCCTTCAACTACAGGTGCTACTGTTTGTCCTGGTACTTAGTAAGTACAGCAAGTATTCCATCACACAGCCTTTTAACTCTGGTAGACATTTTAAAGTGTAAATAATGCAGTGCCACTGAAGTTAAAAAGAGTCAAAGATCTATGAACACAAACAAAATGGTCCATGAGGATGTTTGTTAAGAGTTTCTGAATATAGCTGGCTAAAATACGGAAGCTGAATGACCAGGAGTACATTTGCTGTTGAAATGGTATTAGACAACTCTCAGTCCAAAACTGGGAAAAGGTCTTTGTTTTCTGTCTTGAATTTGTGGCACTAAAGCCACAATGATAAAAGATACTGTCTTTCCCCCTAAATACTTGAATATTTCCTCACCATAATTCCTGAAGAGATCTCAGAAGAGATCAAGTGCTATATAAACACCACTACTTAACACAGTGGTCACTGGTTCCTCACTATGCCTAAGTGATGTGTCCCATCCTGGGCTGCAAAACCATTGGAATTGGAAATTTTTTGTTAATATACATTTATCAGGAGATTTATACAACGAGGTTGTGTTCACAAGCTGAATTCCAAGAAAAAATCCTGCAAAAGCTTAGAGCAATCAAACACACTACGCTTTCATTTCAGAGGCATCTGTCACTTTATGATGTGAACCATATTGGAGTAACACATGGGATCAACAGGCAGCAGTACCTCAGTGTTCCTTTACTGCTAAAACAAAATGTCTGAGCTGCTGTATGCTGGAAACATCCACTGGTAATGTCTTGATTAAAGAGATGTCAAAAAAACCTAGAGCAGAGTGTAGTGCAGTGTGGAATTTCCTCCTTACAAAGCTCTGGAATTTAAGATATTTTGCCTCCCATTATGATTCCAGAAGAAATAATTTTGTGTACTTCCTCATATAACTGAGAGCAGCCCTGTGTAAGTTATTGATAGTGCCATTGTAAATAATATTAGTCACAATAAGATTACCTATAGCTTGATTCTCATATGGAACTGTTTAACTTGGATTTAGAGCCCTATAGGTGTCATAGGCATTCTCTATGTTTGTTTCCTTGGAAAGATATTTGGATGTGTTTTAGATCCCTGTATTACCTGGCAATGAGATTATGTTCTCCTTGGCTCTAAGCTCACAATGTTGAAAGCAGAGTTGATGCAGGCTTTAAGATTCCCATTGCCTTTTCTTGTCATGTAAGAGAAGTTGAAATTAATCTCACATATAGGGTAGACCACCTACAGACCATTCCTAAATTTTCATCTTCACCAAAAACCTGCCATTGCTATCAAAAGAAAATCAGATTTAATCTTCTACAGCAAATCCTTCAACACTAGAAAATGACAGGTTTTGGTGATTTAGAGAAATTCAATATCAAATAGATAGCTCAATCATGAATCTATTATCCTCCCCCTACACCAAGGAAGATGTTAGTGAATGTAAAAACAAGATAATGGAATGGGAGAAACAAGTACTCTGCTGAGCCCATACACAATAATTGTATCATTTCAGAGAATGACTAAAGATTACCATGAGTCAACGATTCCTCCTAAACATTTTGTTTAAGCACACCTACCATCCCAGCTTGACTGGCAAGGAGCAGATTAGCATGCTTCAGTTATGATGGCAGCTCAGTTTGAAATAAATCACTATTAACTGCAGCACACCAGGCATCAGTGCTCTCTCTGCCATACAACCAGTCACTTAAAGTGTGATTTTGCATACTCTCCATTTCCCAATGCAAGAAACCTTCATAAAGAAGATAAGAGAGTGAGGGGCAAGGGTTGTGTAGGGAAAATAACTGCCTAGGAATCCAGTCAAATTAGACCCTGTGTTTATCTGCAGGCCAGCAAACTGGAGTCCTACACATTCACATATGCAAAGTATCTGATGAAGCAGTGATTCAAAATCATTGTCTTTCAAAAACCTGCCTGGCACCCTGTCAATTCATTAAAGAGCTGCTTGAGAGCTCAGCTCAGAGGTCTGCTTCTAAGACAACACAGAGATAGTCTTTTTTAGCCCAGACTCCCAGCATTTTTTTACCATCCTTGAACCCCAAAATGCCTAGAAACCCAAGTGACAGTCCCAGGGCCCCCAGCTTCCCTGGTTTGTGAAACAGGGATGCAAAGAAAGGAATTCTCAAGAGCCTAATAATTGGATTCATATTTTATTTAAAAACTGAACAGAATTCTTTTCCTCCAGACAGAAGAAGGAGGAGAAGAAACAAAAGGAATTTCCTTTCCCTTGGAAATATGAAGGTTTCTAGGTTTTGTTCCTGTTCCAAGGTTTAATACACGCACACCAGCACATGCATACACAACCCTAACAGACCTTCCCTTCTTTGAAGTGGCTGACAGGGGGATTTCCTCTTAGGATATGTCTTATACTGCAGTAACTGCAGGATACTGATCTGGATGGATTTAAAATCTCATACAATATAACATTTCCCTATTTGAAGCCTAATTAGTATTGTTGTATACATCCACAGGAAACATCTCCATCCTGTAACAAGAAAAACACTTTGAGATCTAAATGTTAAACCCTCTAAAACAAGCTAAGAATTATTTTTTTCAATTGAAAAAGTTATACAGAATACCCTTATGTGTGATTTTTTATGGTTTTCATTTCTTTCAAGTGTCTCAAATTCAAGTCTCCTTTCTAGTATTAATTTCTTTTGTAGTTTCACCAATCAGGCTCTCACTCTTAGCACTTGCTGCTACAAGAAAATTAAGAATAAAAAATGTTTGTAAATGGATTGTCTTCTGTGGATTATAAAGATTTCACTTTAGAAGTGAATTTAATATTCATTTCCTTTTGACTTCTGTTGCAATTAAGTCAGAGTTCTTTTGTATTAAAAGAAAAAAAAAATCCCTCCTTCAAAGGAAGCCAATAAAGTATCAAGAACCATCTACTGCTTTGTAAAAAGTATGATTCATTCAGCAGTGCAGGTGTTTCAGGGATTTAACAGTGTTACAGGAGAGTGATAGTGTGCACAGAAGAGAGAGATAAGCCAAGAAACAGCTGTTCTCTAAAACCTGGTTGGGAAAAGGTGAAAGAACTGAGGGAATGTTCTGGGTGGTCCAGAGGACAATGTGAAGGACAGCAGTTCTGTTTTGGAAAGGGTTTTTTTTTCAAATTCTTGAAACTGCACTTGATTCTGACTTGGGATAAAGGCCTTCACTTCCTAACAATGAAGAACAGTACATTCTAGTCTTTATTTTTTTCCTTTACTCCATCATGTTTTTCTCTGGTTCTGAAAAAAAAAAATCCAAACCAAAACCTAACCAACCAAAAAACAGAAACACCAACTATTGGAGTAAACAACCAACAATACTACTATCCACAGAAAAAAAAAATTAAATAATCTTATTGAAAGAATCTTTTGAAATGAAAAGCTTAAATCCACAGTCTTAAAAATGTGGATTTCTTCTAAGACCCAAAAATTTCCATTGCTTTTTCAATTTCCTGTATATACAGACCTCTTTTATTTAGTAAAAAACCGTTATTCCTGGTCAGCAGCAGTGCCCAAAAAGTCTTGAATAAAAGATTTGCAGTGGTCACAGCTGCTAATCCATTTTCAAAACTGGAATAATAGCTGGGTGGGTGAGGAAGAAGTGGACCTGGAAAAAAGGAGAAAAACACAGCTCCAACCATTGGTTAAAAGGTACATTAGTCACCTCAAA